ATCTTAATATTTTAAATATCATTAAAATTTGTCCAGTTTACCATCTGGAATGTTGCGCAACGCTGCTGTCCGCCGCAATGTGTTCGTCGCTTTGCATCAGCCCGCACAGCGTGCTGCTTGGACACTTATTAATGGCAAACGTCAAGTCATTAAAGCAACTTGTTGCCGCGCTCAGTGTACGGCTTGTGTGTGGGAGGAAGAGTTCGAACTTGGCTAATTTTAATTAACTGTCGCCCACTTAATTTTTCAAAACCTATTTTGTTTATTCTTTTCAAATGCGTTGTTTTTTGTTTTTTTTACTGCCATGCAGCTCATGGGAACCTCTCCCTTCCTCCGCGAACCCGCGCATGCTCCGTTATTCTTTCCCCACATACCTCGCTCTCGCTTGGATTCTCTGTTATAATCTTTGTGTTTGCTATAACGCCGCCCACTCCCCCCTCCCTTTTTTTCTCCGTCATACCCACCCACCCATAGAAATCTGTGATCGAACCGCGACGGCGATCAACATCGAATCAGCGTCGGTTTGATCGCAAGTTTCTGGTTTGGAATCCCAATACCCGCTCGCCGCCTCCTCGGTTAATAATTATTTATGTGACTTGCTTGACTGACCTTGCGGGGCACACTCCAGCAGTACCTCGAACCGTTACTCGTGTTTACATCACAGTTCTGCCACAGCACGCCCGCTATTTTCTTTATTATTATTATTATTATGAATATTTACTGTTACAATCCCGCCGTAACGGCTGGCTGTCCTAGCCAAGGCTGGGGGTGAATGAGCGGGTGTAGCGGGATGAATGATCCCCAAGAGGAAGGGGAACCCCCTGTCGACCGTCAACGTTAAAATTGTTTCAAATTTGTCATTTTTACCTTTTGTAGTCAAAGTAGCAGTCCTCTGAGGTAGTTACATTGACGTCTTTAAATACATGAAAGATGGCCAAAACAGCTGTGTTTTAACCCTCTTAGACTTTGTGCTGTCCCTTGGTCGGCGTTACCTTGCCAAGTTATGGTGTCAGTTATTGCGTTCAAGTCGCGTGGAAGTCTGGGACGACTCGCGCGCACTCGAAAGTGATGCGTTTGCGGTGTAGATTAGATCATCTACTCCGATAAAGGGGATGCATAACTGATTCCACGAGGTTCGAATCGCGTCGCGTCGGTGGATTAGTATAGCTTGCTCAACTTTTTTCTCAAACTGCAAGAAAAAATAATTTTAGGTAGAATTGTTTGAGTTGTACTTAATTTATGAGTTGTGTAAAATGTGGCCATTGCCTAGGCCCTCTTTCCATTTTTCTGTAGCTTAAAAGAGTCGGGTGTTCCGACTTTGGTCGATTGCGACTGAATTCCCTGTTTTACCCTGATGCTATTTTCGAGTGTTCCCTCAAATGCTCTGCCTCCGCCACGCCACGCCCCTCTTCCGTTGGCAGTGTAAAGTAGTAACCTTTAGGCCTCATTGTTCTGGCTTGCCTCTGGCAACCCTCCCGCCGTGTCGCTCTGTCTCGCTCCCTTTCGCCCACCCCCTCTTGTGGCTGGGGTGCGCGCGTGAAGGAGCGAGAGCAGTTGCCTCCGTGTCCCCCAACATCAACATGACGTTGTCGCTTGAGCCCCGCGGTGGACATCCTCCTCCGTTGCCATGTTGTTTCATGGAGTTCACAGCACAATATGTTTACCACGGTAGAAAAGGGAAAAGTAAAGAAAGGGGAAAAAAACGACAACAGCGGACTCGATTTTTAAAGAGAATGTTGGACTTTATAAAACCAATTAAAACCTACATCATTATTTTGACCGATTTTGATTCACTCCAATGTCATTGTCAAAACCTGAATCATTTCGCCCATTGCAATTACTTGTAAGTTATACCCTACCTACAAGTCGGCGGTGACGCTAATGTGATCAAGTATCTTTAGTGGTTTTACTGGGCGTAGTGGGAAAACAATTTAATCCAACCCTCTTATAGAATATTATAAAATTTATAAGCACAACCTATTAAAGCCTAGGAAATAGGAAAAACTCAAAAAAAATCCTGTATGCTCAACTGAAGGAAATTTCTTATTATTTGTGACTTAAACTCCTTTTTTTCTGTTTCAGCTTATAAATTTCAAGAAAATCTTTTGAGAACTATGATACAAATTGAGAACACCTTCTTCTCACTGGGGGAGTCATGCGCCAGAAATTGTCTCATTATTTGCGATCGTGGTGCCATGGACGCAAGTGCATGTAAGTAAAAACCACTTAACTACATCTAGAAAAAATGAGAGTTGAAAATTCAACCTTAAGTGTCTAGTCTAGACAACCTTAGGTGTATTACAGTGGTACCTACATCACATGTGAGGTAGCCATAAACCACTGTTACATGTCATTAGGTTGTGTTGATATATTTTTTTATAATATGTAGAATGTAGATAAAGATAACTGACACACTTTCTTTCATGCTCTGTTTTGCTGTTGCTGCTGAAAATTTTTGACTTAATCAGATGGTAAGATATGACAGTTAAAATATTCCAACTGTCATTTCCCTTGATTCTCATAGGTGCTGGTTGCGACTGGTGTGTTCTGGTGGTTGTTTAATTTTCTCTGTTTTGTACTTAGACCTAGACTAGATAGATTTTGATAGTTTGCTATACTTCTAGCTCAGTTCAGCTATCTTAGCAGCCAAGGATTAAGGGAGAGAAAATTAATATCTAAATGTAGTGTTGTGATTGCTTGCTTGTATGTATTTTATTTCCGTCAGTGGAAGTCAAAGGGATCTTCAGTGCAACATTTAAATAATTGTACTTTTCAACATTTCTGTTTCAGTCATATCTACAGAAAAGTGGGAGTATATGCTGGCTTCAAATAATTTGAATAATGTGGATCTGAGAGATAATCGATACAACCATATTATTCACCTTGTGTCAGCTGCTAATGGGGCTGAAGATTTCTATTCTACAGAGGTATGTCTTAAAATGAGAAATATTTTGACTTATGGTCTTTGTGCCTGTGACAAATGAATGAAACTTTTGCTTTTCAGGACCATGTGTGTCGAAGTGAAGGTGTCGAGACGGCAAGAGAATTAGATTACAAGGCTGCTGCAGCATGGGTTGGACATCCATACTTTGATGTGATTGACAACTCTACTGATTTTGAGACCAAAATATGTAGAATGATTTCGGTATTATATTTGTTTAAATTAGAAAAAAATTATGTTTTAATGTATTTGCTTTGTTCTCTCATCTATTGCTTTCATTCCATCAGAGTATATGCCAGAAGCTTGGAATTGATGTTGGAGACAGACTTCTCACTAATTCTCGCAAGCTGAAGTTTCTTGTCCGAGGTCCTCTGCCTGCAGACCCTGATTTCCCACCATTCCAAGACTTTGATGTTGTTCATAACTATCTTCAATCCAACACTCCCCAGCTTCAAGCTCGACTCCGCAAACGAGGCCAAAAAGGTACTTCCCTATCTTACTTATGATGGATTAGAATCTAATTGGTTGCTGAGCACTGAGCACCTGTTTCATGGAGGTTTTTTTTTTTCCAGGTCATTGGAGCTACATTCACACTATCAGAAAACCAAAGCTTCGTGGGCAAGTTGTTGAGGTGAAAACACAACTCACCCATCGTGACTACATCAACATGCTTGCTCAGCGAGATGATTCTCATTTTACTATATTCAAAAAACGGCGGTGCTTCTTAATCAACAATCAATATTTTCAATTGGATATTTATCGTGAGCCTAGTCACCCAAGGTAAAATATCACCAATTTAAATGTATTATTTGTCTATGTTAAGATAACATTAAAAGTAAATAACATACTTTGAACAGGAAAAATGTCACCTCACTAAACTTGGTTGATTTTATTGATTTTTGCAGGTGTAAAGGATTGGTTTTGTTGGAGACATACACGGCCCTGGACTCAATTGAGAATATTCTGCCTCCCTTTCTCACTGATGTCGTGGATGTTACTGGGAACCCTGCGTATTCCATGTTCAACCTCTCACTGAAAGAGGAGTGGAATGCAACAAATAAGTTTTGCCATGGGCTGAAAGGTAAACGATTGTCAAATGGTTGTTCAGAGGGAAAATGTTGTGCTAACTATCATGAATAAAGAGTTTCCTTCCAATTAAGTTTCTGTCCTGCATTAACAAAATCTCCTGTTGCTGCACTAGATAAACATTGCTACTATACTACATTGTTGCATTGGTAGATACTACCAGAGATATCATTCTAAAGAAAATACTTATGTTACCCATAAATCTGTCTACCTCCTTTCTATATTCAGATTCTGGCATATTTTCTAATATATTTGAAACGCTGGATAAACAGGATAAATATATTTCTGATTAAAGTTGTGCACAAATGGCATTTTCTCATCCAGGCTAACTTAATAACTTACTTTTAAAGTCAAAATTACCCATCTTTGATTGCTGATTTAGAGAGGGCATTTTGTTACCAGATGAGGCAACCGGAAAGAGTTGATCTGCCCTATCTTGACTTCCTGCAGGTACGCGTCGTCGATCGTACTGCGTTTGTCATAACTAAGTTTTTGTTGTAGCTTTGTCCTTTTCTTTTTGTTCGAAGTTGGCCTATGAAGATTTGATTTTGATATTTGTCATTTTTTGTTTTAATATTCTTTTTGCTGTGTACTTATTATTTTTGTGGTAGTGCACCTGATTTTGAATGCCACATTTTTTTCTTTCCCTGTGCTGTTTTAATTATATGTGGAAACATATTTGGAACACATAATTCTCACTTATACACAAAGACAAATAAGAAGAATGATGATTGAGATTCCTATAAGTTTTTGAACCTTTAACTGCTAGAGTGTACTAAGTGCTTGGAGTCAGCTTTTAAAACTCTTGATAGTGATCATGTCTCTTTGAACTTTTCAATGCTCAAGTGAATGCAAGTTGCGTTATCTCTCTAAATGAACCAATTAATTATATTCCATTACCTTCAAGCATATTTTTCTTAGTGTGCATGATGATTATTGATGGAATGTTCTCCGAATTTGTAAACAAATTAAGCTCAAGTCCTCTTGTGTTCCATCTAAGCAGTTTCAGCTTGTGGTAGAAGCCTGTATGTTGTTAATCTCACTGATTTAGTTTTTGAACATGCTCTATAGCACTGCACTCATTCTTGAAGTTTTTGTATTCCTTTCTAAACACAAATTATTGTTTGTTTGCAGAATATTCAATAAGTGTAAACAAGAACAATACCCTGGAACCACCAGCTACAGATGCACACCTGAAGAGTGCACCTTTGGGAGATGGAAAACCTAATGGTATTTCAAATGGAGTAGCTGAAGCGGTTCCCTTGAACGGTGTTAAAAATGGCTTCTCTAATGGAGATAGTCGGGACACTCCTAATGAAACCTTTAGTGGTTTCTCATATGGCTGTATTAATAGCAATGTTTGTAGTAGCTTATCAAATGGCATCTACAAAGTTGTGTCTAATGGCTTGCATGAGAAATCAGTTGTCCCAACAAATGAGACCTTAAAAAGGGCTGAGAATGGAGAGGGGGCTACCCCTAAATTGCTTGGAGTAAATGGAGGAATCGCAGTTTCTGGCAGCTAGCTGTGACTGGAAATGGTGGGACTTTTTAAAAATGTGATTGGCATAGAAAAGCTATGTACTCTTAATCCATGGATTAATTGAAAAATTCAGTCATAGTTCACACACCAGATAGTCTCTCAGCTGTTGAGAAATAGGTACATTGGTACTTACATAGGTACTTATTACAATCTGATTAGGCCTTTCACTTCAATCCTCCTACCATTTTAAGGGGTGAAACCATTCTTATATTTGGGAAGGTATTTTGTGATTGTGCTTTAGTTGTTGAAATAAGTAGCAAGTTCTTTCTTTTAATACTATGAATTGCTAATAGTTTTCTGCAAAGATAAGTGACTTACACTAGTATAGCTTTTGCTCAATTATTCATTTTATTTATGTAGTTAACAGTATTTACATGGCTTAAGTAAGATCTGTGCTTTTACAAAGGTATTTTATAGGAAAATTCTGGAGTTTAATATGCTAGGATGTTGCCATCCTACCTAATAGCTGTCTTTTGATTTTTTTTTTATAAATGAAAAGAAAGTAATCTCTTATTTTCAACCCTTTGAATTATGTGACATGTGTGGTATCCACTAAAGTGCCTTCTTGTGGATTTTTTTGTTTTTGTGTGTGTGCCATAAGAAAAGTCTTAATCTAAAGGATTGACATCTGCAAATTAGAGGGTTTTATTCTTATTTCAAATTCTTTGGTTGAGTGAAGGATGAATATTGTCCTGTAAAAACTTACCCAGTGCCTTTTACCTGCCAGAAATATCGTTTCTCCTTAAAATCTAGACTTTCATATTATTGCATCCAACAGACCTACACTGTGCCACAAATTACAATTTAATTTAGCCGAAACTTGCCTAGTACCAAATCTATTTTTGCATAAGGGAGTTGTCTTTGATCATCTTTTGACATGCAGAAATTTGTTTATTGCATGGATAGGATTTTATTTCCAGCTCCAGCAATCAGGTTGTTATAAGAATCTAAATAGTGTAATTGTTTTTGACTTTACATAGGAATCCGTAGTGGTCACAGAGTACTGTACTGTGGAGTATTTAGCAATACATTTTAGATCTTGCTGATACAGTATTGAATCAACTCCTTGATATCATGTCTTTTCCCTCCTTTCCCTTTCTTTGGGTTATAAAATTTACCATCATTAAATTATATAAGTAAGGAAAACCAAAAGCCAAGTAATTTTCCAATCAATTGTGATACAGAATTTTCCTTACATAGGTAACATTTTTTTTGTTTTTCTTACTTTCTCTCTCACAATAGGTTGATAAGTTCAAGGAAATCAAGAGGTATTGCTTGAATAGTATTAATCATCGTCTTGTTGAAATGATATTTCAAACTTCATCTGCAGTGTACGTTATAATTGAATAAAATGTATTGAAGACAATAGGCTTCCTGGAATGAGAAGATCTCACAGTTTTTTTAAGTAATCCAGGCATAGCCTATGAGAGAGTTATTTGAAATTAGGGCTTTAAACATGGAATAGATGTAAGTTGTTTTGTGATACATTGTGTGTGTATGTGTGTGTGTGTGATGAGAATTTGTTTTAAGTACCTGCTATGATGGACTCAACTTAGCGGGACCAGCAGTTCAGATGAAATTTTCTATCCAATGTGGTTGCAGTTTATCAAAAAAATTCATACTAATATTTTGCTATCTATTTTCCTTTGCAATTTCTGATCAAGCTGTACCATAAAATTATTTTTATTGTATCTTAAACCTGAGCATATTTGTTTGAGTTCTAATGTTGTCAAAAACAATGCTTTTAAAATATGTACATCCGAGAATTTTTCATATACTAACCCAGTGTAATTTTAAAAGAAAAATGTGCGTTTTTGAATTTTATTGTGTATTTATCCATAATCAATCATCTTTGGAAAGTCACAGTGCATGCGTTGTTTATCCAGCCCAATGCAATTAATCTACTGTGTATCTGAGACATAGTTACTGCTGGATACTGTCTATTTTTTCATTTCTTCATACGATAAAAAGCAGTCTTGTTTTCTGCAAAACTTTTACCACTTTGTCAATAAACAATCCATCATCATGAGATGAGACTCACATCAGATTATTTTTATTACACCTCAAAATACATTCATTTTCAAGTGAGGTAGAAACACTAAAGTATGGGCTAGTGATAGATTTTATTCTGTCCTCTGTAGGAGAGAAAGAAGGTACAAGTTCAATCCAAGAAGGAATACAAAACTTTACAACAAAATAACAGCTGCAATAATGGAATCTAATTGCATGGCTCACAACAAAAGCCCAAACTGAACAATTGTTTAACTCTAAGTTAGTATAGAGTGTAAAAGTACAACATACACACTACTTTTACACAGTTTAACGACTTACAGAAAATAAGCCTCAATTACAACATGCATCAAATTGATTCTGCTAAGCTAGACTCATGAAAAGAAACAACTTTTTAACAGATTAGGATATGATACCCTGGAAGCATAAAATTCAAGAAATATAGTTACTTACAAGTAAAAACCCTCATGTTTTACATATGTTGGTGTATGAACCGATCACAGCCAGGCAATCCAGTGACTAAGTTGTTACCTCACATTACAATACTTGATGCAAAATTTTCTATAAATATGTACTTTATATCTTGTCTAATTAAAACATACTTTGATTTAGATACAAAATGATGATAGGTGATATAACTTGTCAAATACACAGTTCAAATCTTAAAAGTAGTTTATTGCTGGACATATCATGGGTGAGCTGAACTGGTAATTAACACAGTAACACTGAAGTTGACTAAACTTAATAATTTGTTTAGCTTTTCCATGGAGTTTCTTTCACTCTTTGCTTTTTATACCTGTTGAGAACTTTCTTACCAGGAACTAAAGTTTGACTCAGACCAGGTCTCTTCTTTCGTTTCATTTGTCCCTCTTCACCTTCATCAGCTTCAGGTTCTGGAGAGACTGAACCACCATCTGGGACTATTTGCCCAGAAACATTTCCAGCAAATGAGCTACTCTGAGATCCTCCTTGGTGCAGATCAGAATCATGAGCAAACTTGCAGTTGTGACCAAAGCGGCATCTTCCTTTCCGGTAATTCCAGCAAATCTGTTTGCCATTTATGAAACGTACCTCATCTTTGCTTGGAACCATTTTTACATGTTTTTCCAAAATAGCTTTCTTGGCAATCTCAGCTTCCACATAGGGATTAAGGAAAACTGAGTTTTTTGAAGTGGGTCCATTGGCAAAATCAGGCCTTGGTAAGGGTACTTTTGCTGTTGGAGATGACAGTTCATGCCTGTGACATGTCCAATATGTGTTAGTACCTCGAGTCAAATTAACAAATTTAGACGCATGGAGGATTAAAAATAGAGGAATTAATCAATATTGTGTTCAAGCAACTGAAAAATGAAGGTGCACTTAACAGAAAAATGAAGTTGGAAAAGTAGCGAATAGCAAAGAGAAAATCAGAAGCATGATCAAATTCCTGTTATATTTTTCTGTAGTTGTCAATTGTATACCCTTTAACTAAATATTATTAAGCAAAAATACCTAACCTAGATAGATTAATTTTACACACCTAGGCGAAGCTTCGTGATCTGATTCACTTTCATCTTCAGAACCAGAGGAGGACGAACCATAATCAGCAACAAGAGAAGACATTGTGTGGTTTTTTTAAATTAATGTAGGAAGAGTCTTAGTGGATTATTGATGTTTTCACCGCTTCTTGTCGATTTTCAATGTTTTGCATTGTTTTTCATACTTTGTTCTGCTTGTCTGGAAGCTCCATCCTTAGTCTCCCACAGAACGATGATAATAGTCCTAGGTCTCCCGAAAGTATAAATGACCCAATGTTTTTATGGCTAGTGGTTGGCTCTTCCGAGAGATGACAAGCTGAAAGAAGAACACAAATGCGCCACGTAGAAGTTTTGTTGCTGTCGCTCATTATTATCGTGTGAAAATAGGTTTTTGTACGTCAAGTTGACATTTGACAAAGTGCAATGGGTGCCGGACCAAGTGTAGAGATACCTGGAGGAGGAACTGAAGGATATCACGTTTTGCGGGTACATTTCATGACTTGTACTTCTTGATTTATTCACGGTTTCTGTTGTGTGCTGTAGCAGAAACCTCGGTGCACCTTTTTTGGCTTTCGTTATCTTTGCCAAAACTTTGGAACATATGATTGAATAATAATAAGCTTAATGAACACGAAACGTATGTTGCCAAATCTAATCATTTCTGACGAGTTTTCATCAATTCTTCGCACTCTAATTTTTTCGTAACCTATAAATGTCAAAACATTCTGTGTAGATTTTACCGGCCGTTTTCATTTGCCAGGAGTACACACTGAAATTTCTACTTCTGCTATATTTTTTTGTGGTCTTTTAAATGTCACATTTCTGTATTGAAAAAATTATTTACATGTCAATTATATTTTTTGTACAGGTTCAAGATGGTTCTCCAGGACAAAAGGCTGGACTGGAAGCTTTTTTTGATTTTATTGTAGCTATCAACAAGACAAGACTGGTAAGTTTTATTGTCAAGGTGGAGTATTCTGATATCAATTTTAAGATTTATTTAAATTGGGGATTCTGTGGCCCAGGATCAAGACAATGATACTCTCAAGGAGTTGCTGAAACAACACATTGACAAGGAAGTTCAAGTGACAGTGTATAGTAGCAAGACACAGTTAGTTCGGCAAGTGACGATCACTCCAAGTACGTCTTGGGGAGGTCAGGGCCTGCTTGGAGTGTCCATAAGATTTTGTTCCTTTGAAGGTTCCAATGAGAACATTTGGCACATTCTGGCAAGTTTATTAGTTAATTCAATGTGTCAGGTCCTTAAAGATTTTTGAATCTAATTATCATGCTGGCAATTATATTTTCTTTTATGTAGGAGGTTCATCCTTCATCGCCTGCTGAATCAGCTGGTCTTCGACCTTTCACTGATTACATCATTGGTGCCGATTCTATTCTTCATGAGAGTGAAGATCTCTTTTCCTTTATTGAAGCTCATGAAGGCAGAGCTTTAAAGTTGTATGTGTATAATACAGATGAAGATTCTTGTAGAGAGGTCACAATCACTCCAAATTCCAACTGGGGTGGTGAGGGCAGGTGAGTAATAACAAGGCTCTGCAGAATTTCTGAAATTTTTCCTATTACAACAATACAGTCAAGGATCTTTTGCATTATTTTTTCTAGCCTGGGATGTGGTATAGGCTACGGTTACCTTCATCGCATACCAGTAAGGAGTAATATTGAACAGCCAAAACCTCCTGCATCTGGTCAGATACCATCTGCTGTCATCAAACCTACCATTCCTCCACCAGTACCGATTGGCTATGTACCTCCACCAACAACTGCACCTATTACAGTTGCAACTATCCCTACTGAAACTCCAGCCATGCCTTTGCCATCCTCTCCCACTGTTCCCCCTCCATCTGTTTCACCAAGCTCTGTCAGCATGTACCCAACTGTCACTCCTGTTACTTCACAGCCTTACCCTTCACCCATTCCTTCAATGCCAGTGCCATTCAGTTCAACAGGCTTCTCTGCTGTGGTAAGGTTGCATTTTATTTCTATCTAATGTGTTCAGTTAAAATATTTTGAGGTCACACTCCTGTTAATTTTTTCAGAGTGGCGTAAGTACACAAATGGCAGGGTTAACCATGAGTGGCCATGAAACTTTTGTCCCAAGTGGGTCACAGATAGGATTACCTCAACCGCATCCGTCTACTGTTGGAGGCACCACTACTGTTGGATATGCTCAGCCTCCCACATCACAAGGCTATGGGTACCAAATGGGATACACGCCATATAATCCCTCCGATGGTGTGAGTCAGTACTTCCCTAGCACACATGGCAACGTTGACTCTTCAGCAGTTCCAAACCGCGCTTCACCTGCCATGCCTAGTAAGTAAAATACATTTTTATGTTAAAATATTTCTGAAAAGTTAAATGTGATTGAGGATTAATTAGTTATAATTCTTGTTGCAACTTGAGATGACATATTTTTTCTTGTTAAATTCTCAGTGGGTTCTGGCCAGCCACCTTCTATCCCAGGAATGCCTCTGACAACACCGCTCAGTTTGCCTGGTATGCCACCAATCACAGTATCAGCCTCTGTCCCTTTTACAACTTTAGAAGGTTTGCATTTAGCACAGCAGCAGCAGCAATCACCACAGCAACCCCAGCCACAGCAGCCATCTTTTAGTGTATCTGTTGGCCAATGATTTAATCTTTGAATTTCTTAAAACCAAATTTCATATATATTTATATGATTTAGTTGCTGTTTCAGGGGACAATCTGAAATATATAGACTTCACTAACACAATTCTGTTGCTCAGTGACTAATATCTACAGTCTTTCTTATTTTGAAAGGTATTCTTTACTTTGTTTTAATTTGTTCGATATTACTGGGGGAAAAAGTTGGCCACCTCCTGAGGGGAAAATACCCTCAAGAAACCAAGTGAAATCTACAGAGGGACCACATTTTATGAGGACAGACATCAGAATTGCTTTTGAAATACCTATTGTTTCTTTCTTAATTTTACGTAAGATTTTGTTGTCTATCATTGAATTTTTGTTGATTTTTGTTTTGTCTATTTCCTTTTAACATTCTTTTACAGTCCGTTAGCGTGTTTGAAGGGTTTGTTTAAATTGTCACATGTCAGTTTGTTTCTTGTTTTCTGATGTCATCACATTTTAAATGTCTCAATATTTGAGCTGCTTGTAATGTATGTGATTGTGGTAACATACAGTGTAATTGTGTACTACATCTACCTATAAATATATTTTTTTTGACTAGGGTCTCAAAGCACTTTTTTATCGGCGCCCTTTCCATCCCATCAATATTGAGATGGAAACTGGAAACCTTATCTATTCTTAGGGGAGAAATTTACTATTAGATGTATTTGAACAGTTTATTAACAACTTAAGCACTTCCCCTTCACTTGTGATTCCATAAATCAAGTCCCAATACAATTAGGTACAAGAATTATTTGGTTGTAAAAGAAATAATTTTAGAGGTACAAATTAAGATTTACGGAACTTGTAACACAGGGCAGAATAAATCAAGCGACATAGTTTATTCTGCTGCTATCTGCCTATGGAATTGGTAAGACAATTCTTACACCAATACAGTCGTACATACAGTATAGAAAAATGTGAGGATAACACATCAGAAATTATTTAAAAAACAAATGCCAAAAGGACAGGCTTAAAAACATAAAAAGCATGACGTATTCATACTAATGCAATCAAATTACAAGAAGAGAGTCCACTTCACCAGTATATAACTGCATTTCTATTGCAAGTGAGTTATTATGAAACAAACTGGATTGTTTATGTACAAACATTCAAGAAACTCAAAACAAGAATAGATCCCTCAAGACTGAGACTGTTGCTAAATGCACAGTACAGCAGCCAGTAACAAAGTAAAGAAATAATTTCATGTACAACTTGTCGTAATCTGCGACTTTTACCATGTGGCAGGGCTAACAATTTGGAGGCAGCCACAGCAACCAAGACTACAATGCAGTGATTTAAACTTGACAATATAATCAGCCTAGATGATAATTTCATAAGATCCTAGTTGTTCTTCGGAGGGAAGTTTCATTTGACTAGCAGGAATATAGTCAGGGTCAACAAGGGGTAGACCAGCAGCCTCCCTTCTCCTGAGCTCCAAGAAGGCTTCTCGATGTGCCCACTCGTTCTTCATCAAGTCAGGATAGTAGAAAATGATCCACGACGACAAAATAAGGGCCCATGAGATACCGAAGAAGAAGAAAACGTGTACATAGAAGCGGTCATCGAAGTAATTATTCCTGCTGAAACCCCATGACACCCAGTTCTTGGGCACGGGGTTAGAGATTGAGGGGGATGATTTAGGCACCGTGGCTGAGGCATCTTGTTTTCCTTCTGACTTGGAAATCCAACGACGCACTGTCACACTGTTTAGTTTAGTGGGAGGCGAAAAAATCCTTCGGATAGCGCAGATGTTGTGGAGACGGCTTAACGACGCCATGTTGACTTTCGACTAGTAGTGAAACAGGCGAAGCCTTACAAGAGTTGCGCAAAGGACTTGTACTCGGCTGAGGATCCTTGTAGTTTTCGCTGACTTTGTGGACTTGGAGCAGCTAGGTAAGGCCAGGGTTTCTGGTTGGACCATACTCTCACTTGAAGGTAAATGCATGTGGGCGTCTGCTGCTTCTGCTTTTTCTGCTTGTTTGTGAGCGAAGTTGTCGTTGTCGTTATTGACTGACTGTGGGTTTTGTAGTTGAGATGGAAAAAATCTGAGTCGGGAAGGGTGAAGAATGTGGCTGATAAATATAGCAGTTTTGCTATGGATAAATTTTGGCTCTTGCTTGGCTTCATCGGAAATAAATGGTAATATATTCACGTAGCTAGTGTTGACCACACTCTTTTACTCTGTTACTTTATTCGGCAAAGTCTTGTAGAAAAAATAGTGTAACAAATTGTTCGATCAGATTTCTTTGCTGTTACATGTTTTTTATATATTATACATTCGTTTCGGTACCACGCACGTTTCACGACAGAAAGAGATGCGAAGATTCGCATTGCCGGCGGTACTCGCCTATCTCTTCAAGTTGCATGGATGGATGTGCGATAGATAAATACATTTTCAAGCAGCAGATATTGCGCACACAGAAAGCCAATAATAATAATAATAATAATTTACATTGAATAGAATTTTTCCTTTGATTATGTTGGGGTTCCGTTTGATAATTCACATATAAGGTAAAGTAACACCCACGGATGCGCTAATTGATGTTTTTTTAATTTGTTTCATGTCCAGCTGCAGGAGAAAAAACTGTTCTGCTGTCACATCTCATGAATCGACAAGTATTTGACTATAGAGCTTATAAAGATGTTCAAATTTTCCACTACAATATTCCAGAACAAGTTTCCAGAGCAACCTGGAATTTTAGTGCCATCCCCACATCTCCTCATCACTGTGACATACGGAATGTGTCTGTGTAAGTAATGGGCACATATAATCTTTCCATTAAAAAAAAACGAACGAAATTAGTTATCTGAAATACCTGTTCTCTGTCTCTCTAGATATTTGAAGTATGGAAGCTATCCTGTCATCAGTCCAGATGGGGCTGAATTTCCATCACATTTTCGTGTTCATCAAAGTCCCATTTATGAATCTCATTTTGTTAGTGATGGAAGCCGTCATATTGTAAATGTCACTAGTCCAACTCCTGGTGATTGGTATGCTGTGGCATTTTTACCAGTCAATAGAGCCAGAATCACCCAAAAGGTAAATTTATTTCCGAAGTACTTTTCTTTCAAACGTTTCTGCAATCACTGATATCTCATACCTCAATCTGTGTAGGGCTTATTTCCAAATTGCACAATTTGGTTAGAATCCTCACTTGCGGCAACAATCATAAGTGATGTTATTGTGGTATTCCCCGAAGTTCAATCCCATCAGGAAGTACAGCTTTATCAAGAAATAGAGAATTCTAGTCAAACATACAAGTAAGTTGTTTACATTTTCAAAATTTGAGTAAAGCTGTGTTTCATGTTTACCATTTTTCTTATAATTTTTAGGTTTTATGTCCCTGCTGATACGTGGGCAGTGCAAGTTAATGTTTCACGTTGTTCTGCCCATGGCTTTCCCAAAGAAAACAAAGCAGCCGCTGGCTGCCCTCTTCTGGTTTGGTCTAGTGGTAGATCTCTGCCAAATCCAGATCATCCAGGTACAGCGTAAGTAACTTTTTCTAATCTTTTGTCTCTATGTCCTTGGGGTTTTGAACTTTTGTTTTAAAATTGAATGGCTGACTTTTTCTTTAGAACAACAAATTGTAGTAATAATGGAGCTATCACTAATTGCCAACAAGAGTGGGTTCCGTGGGAAGAGCAGTGGCATTACCTCACTATTGCAGCTCCAAGTCATCATGTAGGCTTTGCTTTAAAGGTGCTATTCCAGTGTAAGTACTCTCGTGTGATCTAAATCACGGCTGGCATGATTCTGTTTTTCTAAAACTCAAATTCCAATAGTTTTACTGCATGTCTGTTGTGTGGTTTTTTACATTTAAAATGTGTATGTGTGAGATCTCTAAACTACCTTGGTTTGAATTTGCTAATAGCATGCGCTCCTGAGTACCCTTTACCAAGGTATCTCCTTGTGAATGATTTGGACACGAAGCACATCTGTTCTTCTATCAACAAAACTAGCAAATTAAGAGTCATCTTCCGCAACACAAACAACCAAACACGACTCCCACCCCCACCCAACTGCTATGCAAGGTAAATTTTTGAAGATTTTTTGTACACTATGGAGTAATTTTAACAGTTTTTGTTAACATTTTCAACTATGCAGTACAACCTGAACATTGAACATGTCATACATGAATCCCATCTGTATTTTTGCCCTGATAACCTGTTATACCTATCTAATGTTGTAAAAGTATCCTCATGGAAGACTGAATGGGCAAAGCTATGTTGATTACTATTGTCCCCATTTATATGTGATACAGTGTTTTTGACAACTAGTCATAAATTTTCTTATACTTCAGGATACCTTTGACACGGAAGACCTATGGTGGCAATTTTTTGTTCGAGTTTGATCAACTTCCCTTTGAAAATGGGTCAACTCCTTTAAAAGCATATGTCAGCACTTTATCTCCTACATTAATGAGTTTTGAGATAAGACCTACTCAAGATATTGGAGGAACATTAAATTTTGAAATAGGTTTGGATCCATTCTTGGTAAGTGACAGGTATTATAAATCTGGGATCAGTGTTTCCTCAATCAACAATTTTTTGATTACTTTTATATTATTATTTTGTTATTGTTACAGAATACATCATACCACAATATATCTCTTGTTGCTTGTTTGACTCATGGTGTTCGATCAGAGGTTTTGCCAGATCGTTGCACAGTAGGAGCATCTCTCCATGTAAACTCCTCCTCATCTCTCACAGTAAGCAGGATCAGCATACCCTATCCAGAACCAGGGCTCTGGTATATCACTATGCAAGCGTTTTGTTACCTCAGAGATTCAAGACTCAACAAGTAATAATTTTGTTTTTAACAATCTAACAAGACTGTGAGTATGGTTCATGTTTTATGTTATTAACAAACTTTTAACTTCTTTAACAGAGGTCAGGCATATATAGATTGTCCTAGCAACAAAACAGCTGTTTACTTTGGACTAGCCTCTGGTTCTTGTGTATTTGGATCTTGTGGTCGATATGGACGTTGCCATCAATACATAAGCAGTGGTTTCATATTCTCTACTTGTGTTTGTTCTGTTGGTGGGTTTTTCACACAAATTCCCTTGAAATGAATTATATTGTCTGGAATGTTTTGGAACTCTAAAATACTGTTTTGTGGTCCCCAGGATATCGTGGATGGGGTTGTACAGATGACAAAAAAGCACTCACAAGCTCTGAGCTGTTGATGGGTACTCTTTTATTAACCCTCAGCAACCTGTTCTTCATTCCTGCAATCATCCTTGCTCTTCGACGCAAATTTTTCACTGAGGCTTTGTTGTATTTCTCTACTATGTTCTTCTCTACGGTAAAAAACATTAATCCCCACCCCCCACCCCAAAAAAAAACTTATTTATACTTTTTGCAGTTTTTAACATTTTTGTCATTTCATTATTACTTGAACACGTTTTGAGGAATCATATTAATTATGCTTATTATTTGTTCATGTAGTTCTATCACGCTTGTGATGAAGAGGGGTACTCATTTTGCCTGATGAGACTCAGTGTAATGCAGTTCTGCGACTTTTACTCTGCTATCCTGGCATTTTGGGCAACTTTAGTATCCATGGCTGATCTTGGCTTTGTATTGACCTCCCTACTTCACATGGCTGGTGCTGTTGGAGTTGCTCTTGGTGTTGAGTATGACCAGACTGGTCTATGGGTATTTTTAATACCAGTCCTATCTGGTACATTCATTATCATGGTATCATGGGTGAGTAGCTTATAATAAAGCAAAATATTCTCAAACTAACACACAAGTTTTTATTTAAATTCTTTTACGTGAATGTTTTTATGATTGTTTTTTTATTTATGTTATATTTTTTTTTAGGCTTCTCATATGCATCGTAAAAAAGGATGTTATCCCCAGAAAAAGTACTGGTTCTTATGCCTTCCGATTGGCATGGCTTTGGCAGCTGGAGGACTTCTGAGCTATGCTTTCTTGGAAACAGATCACAATTACAAATTTGTCCACAGTGGCTGGCATGCTGCAATGGCACTTGCAATTGTTTTCTTGTTGCCCTTACGACGGCAGGCAGTGGATTGTAAGTTTTAATACATATCGGTCTAGATGGTAACCTTCTCTTTCAAGGTCTTATACTTTTAATTTCCTTGTATTTTGATTGAAAATGTACTGTTTTTCAAAACTTTCAGATTCTGCCCCTGGTGTGACTCCTGCTCATAGCTGATTGATTTAAAATAACATTTTTGTAAAGAAAAGGTTTTGAACCAAAAGCCTTTTTATTATGATAATCTTTTCAGGGCCAATAAGTTTCTAGATCAGATTGAGAGATAAATTATTATCCTCAGATTCCTTTTTGTTCAATTTTTGAGAGTTCCTTTTAATATTCTTTAATTGTGTACATTCCATCATGTATAGTATTTGAATACTTCATTTACCTGTGTCCTTTCAAGTGGACTATTAACATGTGATGACCTTGTACATGAAATTTACACTGGTCACAACAATAACCAAATAACTGTGAAAGACAGTGCTTTTAAAAAAGAAAATAGCCATCAATCTGTGCCAAAGGCAAGTTAAATACTGTACTTTCAAGTAATGAGATGTATGTCTAGGATTTTAAGTTTGTTGCAAAAAACATGGCAAGCTGAATATATGTTAGCTTTAATATTCCAGTAAGAACATGGCTATTGATTCATATTGCTCATGCAATGATGCGCTCAGACAATGTGTTCCTAGTCAGAAAGAACAAAATAAAAATGCCATACCCAGTTCATTTATAAGACTGATTTTACCAGCAAAACTATTGTATTTTTCATATTCCATATGAAATAGTTGAGCAAAGCTCGGAAACAATGTTGGTGAAATTATAAAGTCAGTTTTAGAAATTCAGATGTAGTGACCAAAGAGTTAATTTTTTCCCTAGTCTCTTGAAATGAAAGACATTCCATTGTATTGTGTCCATATGCTAGAGGTTGGTGGGCTTATTTGGTGGTGTTGACAACGGTTTTGATCCGAAGTTTGCCAATTTAGTAGTACAATTATGATTACTTTTACAGTCTGTCAATGGTTATTTCTTACTTGTTTAAAAATGCTCTCTGTTTGCGAAGGATGTGATTTAATACAGAGAAAAGAGTCTATGCTCGATGAGTCTCACATTTTGAAATCACTCCTTTTAATAATTCCTTTTTGTAGAAGCTTTCTCTATTATTATATTTTTTTTTTATTTTTTTTTTTTTATTGTGCGTAGGCTTGTTTTTTAAAGTGATAGTTGTTTAATGGTAGCCTCCTTGCTTTATTCTGGATTTAATCCATCCTTGTTCTATTTCTTTCTGTAATCTGATATGTGATAGATTTAGCTCTTAGTGTCATTGGTTAACAATGCATGTTAATTTTTTAGTTCTTCTATAGATTGTTACTAAAGAATCATTCACCTGTATGAATGACAAAAATTGTTCAAATTGTTTTGTTAGATATTACTATGTTTATAGATTTTTGGTGTTACCAGCTTTTATTTGCTTTTTTTCTGTCTCTGTTTGATTTTTGTTACCATTGTTTAAATTTGTTAATGATGGTGTTTTAGATGAACAACATTTAGCGCACATTGTTAAAAAATAATTTTGAGTTACCAATATGTGTTGTAAAGTCTACATTATTTTTCTCATTTTAGTCGGAAGTTTGGAGTTTTTCAATGTTTTGAACATTATCTTTCTTTACACAATTTTTTGAGATTAGTGTTTTTGGTATAATGAACGGGCTTGTTTGTTTTTGACACAATGGGTACAATCTTTAAACAAGCCAGTACTTGAAGTTTGATCCGTAAGATTAACACAGCTGTGGTGGTGGCTGCTATTCTTGTAGATGTGTATGTGGCAGTTTATTTTATTTTAATAGTTTTTTGCTGTCTTATGTAAACTTGTAGTGAAACTCCTTGGACTGTTATCTTCTTGTGCTACCTATTTCTGTGATACATATACATAGTGCATGATACACGTTTTTGTTTTTCCCCTTTTCCATAATTGTATTCAGTCTTGTTTTAATGAAGATCTGATCTACCATGAGGTTAATGTCAACTAAAACAATATACACAGTAGCAACTTACTTCGCCCCTCTTTTTACTTTTATAATATATCTCATAGACTGAAGAGGCCTTTCAAATGTTTTTGATTTCATTACTCTTTAAAAATGTCACTCTGAGAACTGATTTATTGGACTATTTTTCATGAATATGAGTTCGTGCAACGTGCAAGTATGATGCCATTGTTTTCAATATCGAAACCAGTGAGAATCTCAAACCAAGCTTTCCTGGAATATTGTTCTTGTTCGATCTTCATCTGAGGTTATATGTACTTCTAAGACTTTTTAATCAAGGCTTGGGTCCTACAATTGCATAGAAACACTGCCAAACTATAATGATATACTCTTATTGAACCACTTTTCTGGTTCGTCTTCATTACATTGAAAATGTGATAGGTCACTGCACATGTGTTGTTAAAGTTCCCAATTATCTGAATTAGGTGTACTGTTTAAATATTTAGATCATATGTATAAGAATATATTGTGGTTGTGATGAAGCATCAATACTCTCTTTTTGATAATGTGTTTCAGGATTGTTTTGCCAATCGGTATGCTATTGTACGCACATACAGTATTGAATTCATAAACCCCTTTCTCTTTCAGTCAGGTAAACAGTAACCGGCTACAGATAACCAGAGCATCCTCTTCAAGGGGCTAAATTCAACCCAGTAACCCAATTCATATTGCCTGACTTTTTACCTGTCAACTGTAATCACAGTATTTATTACTCAAGGAAGGATTCAAATCTTTGAAAGATGTCAGTTTCAAAACAGGAAGTAAGATACAACTGTTAACAAATCTGTGAATGTCAAGTGACAAATTTACATACAGTATTGGCTTTTAAATTTTGGCCATCTGCAAGATATTCAAATTTACATTGTTAACTTCTTTATCTCCATATTTTGTTATGTCCAAACAGCAGATACTATGTTTGGAATTTACTTAGTTTCTCAACTTTTCTCATATTTTGCCTTATTATAATTTCTATCTAGTAGCAGTAAACCTTCCAAGACCATTCCCAGAGCGTCATGGAGGTTCCTTGAATGTTCAGTGAACATTCTTGGAACAATTCGTGCTACCAGGGATTTTAACATTCATTTTTTTTTCTGCAGATACACATAAAATGAGTTCCTCTAAAACTCTGTGAGAGTGTTAAATATTCCCTATTGTCAGAGAGTAAGTCAGTGGACTGGATCTACTGCCATTATTCTCTGTGAGGGAGGACCAAAGTGTCAATTCATCCTCTAGCCTTGTCATAAGTCCAATTTAATGTTAGGCTAGATTTATCTCTACATCTATCTTGACATAGAATGGGTTCAGTGTAAGGTCTTTAATATTGTTTTTCTTTTCTTTTTGGGAGAGGCCAACGGTAATTTGTTTTGGGCAATTTCATGTTAGGGTTTACTTTGTCTTTAAACTTAGAAAGGTTAGATTTGTGGTTGTGGAAATCTGAGGAACTGTCAAACTTGGTGGAGAAGTATATAATCTCCCTCTAACTATTAAACAACCGGTCTAGTTATTAGCATGTACTTTTCTTCTGAAGTTGTAAAAAATTCTTGTTGTTCCTCCAGGTGTAGATGTCAACTAGTCTTAAAATTCATTCTGTGTTATTGTAAAGTTCTTGACATTTCTTGAATCTCTTGTCACTAAATTAATTAGAAAATATGATGAGGGTAATTTTTGTCAGAATTATATTCAATTCACTGGCAAGCACAATGATTTGACATGACTGTAGAGCGAGAATGCATGCAACATATAGTATCCAATTAAATGTTTTTGCTCAAATTATGAATAAAACAAGACTCAACAATTATTTGCTACATGCTTTATATCCTAAATTTGATTTCACACAGAAGAAATGATAGACAAAGAAATTGTTTGAATGCTTTAGTATTCCTTTAAGGTACCCCCACAAGAATAAGAGCTCCAGTTTGAGCCCCCTCCCTCTCCAACCTGTGTCCACCTCTAATAGAATTACTTTTTTCATCAGTGATTGCAGCCTGCCTTCACAGAGCTGGACTGGGAATGATAACGCCTGCAAAGCGCAGGGTTGTGGCCTGACATGATCACACCAGTGCAGGGGCCTGGGTGAGGGACTGTTCGGGTTGTGCCTGTTTATGTTCACTGGGGGGGCACCTTGAGAGATACTCAAATGATAGAAAATAGTAACAATGAAACCAATTGCAAAGTTATTTAAAACGTAAAATGCTAAAAAAACAATTGCAGTAAACCTTATGCCATTACATCTCTTTTTTAAAACGTACAGGTGAGTAAAATATCTTCTTAATGTAATACTGATTGCATACCTTTCCTAAAAACATAAAAAATAATTGATTCAAAGATAATACTTTAAACGCCAAAACATGAAACACTTCCAAATCATACAATAAAATTGAGTCACTATTGAATCCTTGGAATCCCCAAAAAAGTGTTCAAGGCTTATCACAGATATGTCTTAATACAAGTTAACATCAATTGGAAAATTAGAGATCACAATAGGTGCACCTTACTAATGAATACTCTAAACATAACAAAGATAAAAGTAATGGAACAGGTGGGAATAGTAAGAAACATGTTACGCATGCACTTATGCAAGCACAGCACATATGTTTTTAGCTGGGGAGCAAGACAGGCAGATAAGGAATTGGAGCAAACAAAATACATTTCAGGAAGGTTTTCAATAGAAAAAAAAACAATAATGTCTAAAACTTGTTGCACAAAAATAAAAAGGCAAACAAAAAGGAATTATAAAATTTGACTAAATAATAAGGCAACTAAGAAATTGACAGGTACTCAGATGAGAAAGTTAAATACATATGTTCCTAATATAATCCAATGGGAAGCATAATTAAGACTTGACCATTTAGCAAGAGTGTGAGTGTATGAATATCCCACTTCTTGCTCTTTGGAAGACGAGTCAAACATAACACCCAGGTAAGTTAAATGGAACATCACAAGTAAGCCCAAGAATACATTAGTAATGACTACAACAACACGAGATTCACGATTTTGATGAGGGCACTCTTTACGACAAGGTCGTACCTGTGTTAGGATATAAAATTAGAATTAATATTTTTGCACAGAACCATTGAAATATTTAAAGAACGATGCAATGCACTTACCAGGATACATGCTTTGAATATACTTGCTAGTTTTTGCCTCAGCATATATTCAACATAAGTATAAATTCCAAGTGACAATAAAACTGAGCTCAGTTGAAAATTTAGCCCATGCAGAAGGGAACTTGCAGCATAAGTTGAAAGTACAGCAGTGAAGCTTCCATAAGGTATTGTGGTCCGAAACACATCTAATAATAATAATTTTTTTAAAAGAAAGATTCAGCATTGCAAATTTTAAGGGCAAAACAGGAATGTAGCACTTACATGTTTTGAGCCAATTATGCATTGGCATGTTCCAATATACCACAACTTGTACCAGAGAACGAGGAATCTCAATCAAATGTGGTTTAGTGACAGGCACATTCCAATCATCATCTTCAGTACGTCCAAATCCAGTAAGCAAGGCAGTTGCTTCCGATAAAAAGGATATGAAGTAATGGCTAGAACGGAATGAAAGAGCATCTCTATATGCCACCCACCACCTGGTGTACAAAAACTAGCATTAGAAATGGGTTAACAGACAGTATGTCAAACTTTGCAGTTCAAAATTACCTCCAAGCATCATCAGGGATAAACCAGTGACTCCAACAAGTTGAAATACTCAGGAAGAAAAAAGCTATAAGAAGGTTTAAACATATCCTTAGGCACCAACGAAAATTCTGGAAAAAGTAAAAATAGATTATTGGTAATATTTCTAGCAAATGATTAGCGCAGAAAGTTGAAGTTGAAATAGGGAATATCTCTCACCCAGAGTGGCCTATTAAAGGTTGCCACGTAATCCTTGTATGGCACCCACGGCCCAAAGACACATGTACCAATATTAAACACATATCCTGCATAGTCAAGAGGCGGTGGCACATTCTGGATGGTGCCAATGTCAGAATCGAAAGAAAGTGAAATTACTTTCATTGCTACTATCATTTGTGCACCACGGATTTTATGCCATTCTCTTCCAGGGACAAAGAAGAGTTCACTAAAATGCAAAAGAAATGTCTAAATGTCCCGACAAAATGCTCCTTATGAAAACTCAGGAAGGTTCAATGTTACCTTATGATGAGGTAGATGATAGATATTATACTCATCACAGGCCCTCGCCGCTGTCCATAAAATTTTGACAATGTCCAAAGTACTAAGTACATTGTAAAGGGAAATACTAAAATGTGGGTTACGGTCCAATTGAAAAACACAAACATGATGTACAAGCCTGTGCAGGCTGATATGGCATGACCAACGCTTAAAGGAACAGCAACTGAAAACAAATGAATAACTAAAATCATTAAGCAACTGTTACTCACAATGAGTGCTGCAAATGCTAAAAAATTACCTGACTGAGTGGTTAATCTAAAAATGAAAGACCATAATAGCAATGTTGATACTTGTGAGAAACCATCTCGGATTGTGGGTTGCACACACATATCAAGTTCCTCCCAAAAACCTCTTTCGATTGCATACTCATCCATTTGATTAAGGTCATCATCATCATACCAGACATTGGGATGCCCAGGCAAAGCTTCTTCATCGTATAGATCTTCTAGATCAAAGTCGTAATCATAGTCAGCCATTGCGGAAATCTAAAACAAAGAAAAAAGATTATGAAGAATAAAAGCACGAACAAACAGTGTTTCAGAGAAGAAAACGATAATCGGCAAGATATCTTTTGAGTGAAAAACCAAGGGAATATCAAAAGAAAAGGAGTAACCTAATGATTTACTAACCTAAGTTCCTAAACACCCGGTTCCTCGTTTATTACAAATTAAACCAATTTCGCGAGTTGACATACTAACATAGTCCTGCCTATCTATTAAGCAGCGAAAGGTTTGAAAACAAACCAGTGCGCAAAATTGAAACGTCGTATCGATAAAATTAGAAGAGTGTATTTATTTTGACTTTTCTTTTTCAATATTTACAAACAAGACAGAGCTATTTGCACGAAGTGTAGGAAACACCAGCAACCAAATAGAAATAATAATAAAACCTGAAGTAATCACAAAATCAAGTCAAAAACTTTTTTCCTCAAAAAACAGTTTTTCCAATATTTTTATGAGGCAAAACCAAGAACGACGAATCACTGATAGGTTTTTGAAGACGAGAATAACATTTTTTTTAATAGTTGGTGTTCTTGATAAACCTCTCCCTTCTTTTTTGGCGCTCGTTGGTTTTTTGTTTTTACCTTACTTTTGACGCGCGTTTGTTCAAAAGCTGCATCTCGTTCCATCTTTTTAACACCAAATTAATTTGGTTTCTACTCGGCTTCTTGTTTCTTTTGAACATAACGAAGAAGTTTTGAGGGGACCACTCATTGCAAATAACAGTCTAAAATTTTTTCAATGGTGTCTGAATGGAGGCGTCTTAAATTTGGATCGGTAAAAGCCGAAATCTTTGAAACGTCTAGATAAAATATGGTCTGTACCAGCAGGCATTTTGGCAAACCCTGCAAGTGTCTGGAAACACTTTCAGTTTCAACAATTTTGATAGAATAGTATTGCACTCCCAAGAAAGATCGGACAAAGACACTCAAGTACCTAAGTCGCACTTTGAGTCCCCAATCATATTAGGACACCGAGTACCAAAGTAGGTACCTGCTGCTATATTAGGTAGACATGCGTGTCACGTTATTTTCAACATAGATTTCCAGAAGTCCCCAGATGGGGTGCCCGTGCGCCTGCGACATCGCCCCAAAACTTACCCGCCCGTTAAAGACTGAATTCGGCCTGAAACACCTGACTAGCACTTGAGACAGCTGTATGGAATAGGCTTATTTATCATCATTGTAACTTTGAACCACCCTGCTTGTTGACATGTTGTCGCAGCATAACAGGTCTCCTTCTATGCTCTTCAGAACTTAAAACCACTTCAAACCAAGGAAACGAAGACCTCGGGGAATTCCCAAAGATGGCTGAGGGTGAACCTTCGTGAAATCGGTGAAATCCCTCCATTTTTTGTCAGTGCGACTCGTTTTTGGTGTCTATGATTTAACATGGGATCGTGGCCACAGAGTGGTCACGACGCACTGCGGACGAGTTCATGTTTCTAGGGACATGGTTGACAATGCTACGGGCACCGGCCAGCAGGCGGTCGGAGGCGGTAAGTTGCCCATCAGTGATGTAGCTTACAAGGGGGCTTAGGCAAGTGTAAATTCCCGATCTTGCCCAAACTCGGTATATTTGTTTCTTACCTATGTTGATGACGACTGACGGTAGTATTTGTTCCTGAGTGTCAATTTCTAGGGTACTTTAGGGGAGGCAATAATGGAAAAAATATTGAATTTGGGCCAAAAATGACGGAAGGAGGTCTCAAATCGAAAAGTTGCAGAGGAACTACCCCCCCAAAACCGCTCATTTTGAGTCAGAATATCACTTAATATTTTTACAAAAGTAGAAATTTGTACTTTTGAAATTATACGCTATTATACGGCTTTTATAGGGAGTTTCGGCACATGACTCTCAGGAAAAAATTTGGTCGGCATTCGTCACCTACATAGATAAGAAGCAAATATACCGAGTTTGGGCACGATCGGGAATTTACACTTGCCTAAGTCCCCTTGTTAGCGAAGCCCTTTGTAGGGGTGGGGGTGGGGTTGAGGGGGGTCCCGCGCCCAGATGAGCTGGAATGAGTCACTGGAAGCGGGAGGGGCGCATGTTGCAGAGCAGTCTATAAGACCGGGCGCGACACCCCGGCCCGAGTCATTTCAGTGACGGCTGCCGTCGACCTCGCGCTGCCGCTCCGCTCCGAGGACCTCCCGCCCGGCACTTGGGCCCCTCGCCGGCGCCTCGCTCTCTCGCGCCCCGCCCCGCCCCGCCGTGTTCCCCGTTCCCTCTTCCAAACTCCCCCATTCCGCGCCTCTCCGAAAGGCCCCTGCAGCTCCCTCCCACGCCCCCGCGCCCCGCCCCTCTGCCGCCGCTGCCGCCGCTGCCGCCCTGCCCCGCCCCCGCCAGCCCGATGACGGTACCACGTGACCACCCGCCAGCGGCCCCAGCGGCAGCGAACGGACCAACGGCTCGAGTCAAGTCAAAGATGGCGACCATGGTGGGAGGTGTCTCAAGACTGAGCCCGGACGAAAAGGCCGAAATCTACGAACAGTTCAACACAGTGAGTTAAATTTTGCGATTTTGAATAGATTTTGGGATGCTGCTTTGAATGAGTGCAAGGTTTCCGTGCGGTTTTCTCACATTTCGGCGAGTTTTGTCCGTGTTTATGTCAGCGGGAGCAGCCGAGCCAGTGCTGTGGCAGGCTGGAATGTGTGCGCCGTTCGACCTCCGACAGTCAAACACTTGAAATAAAGCGAGGATTTTGAATAAAGTATCGCCTTTTCCGCAAGCAGTCTGCATTTCCAGAATTATGTTTTCTGTTTTCTGTAAACTGCAGGAGTTGTTGCGTAAAAGGGCGCGGCCGCGAAATGTTTCAAAAAAAAATTGCGTCGAGTGGGATGGGCCGGGGACCGGCTGTGTCGGTGATAGAAACATATTCAAATGAAATTTGTGACGTTGCAACGCTTATGCTTGCCTTTCGTGTAGTTTGTGACACGCACTGACCCAGGGCTCGCTAGGAGGGTGGCTAAAATACTGTGAAACGTCCTGCTCTTTTGAGAATTCCCATTCAAAGTGCTAGAAGCTTAAAGAATTTGTAATCAAATCGTTCTACATAACCTCAAACATTGACAGTTCTCCCATTCAATGTCAATCTGTAGGGTCACACAGTTAAAATACCGTTTTTGAAACAAAATGGACTGTCTCATGCACTGCAGTAAATAGATTTAAGAAACGGTCTTAATGAATAAACGTAACTGTAAGATGAAGGGGTAAGGTCCAAGAGCAAATAACCAATGCTGTGTAGAAATTTTGATTTTTTGATATTTACATTTACCTTCCTTTTGTCTGCATTATACTACTTTATTTTAATTAAGTGACACTGATTTTGGGGGAAAAGTCCCAAAACTTGCTTCTTGGAGAGAGGCACTTGTGTCTAACAATGTCAGTGCTTGTGAAAATTTCTCAACACATTAAGCCGTAAACAATGGATGAAAGCTCTGCACTTATGCATGATACATTTTCTCACACTACCTGTTTTAATTGTTCCTCAAGCAGCTCTGGGTCACAATTCTCAGGTATTCCTTCACATCTCTATCACTGGAGGTGTGGCTGTCCACATGATTTTTGCTCCCGTTTAGGGAAGTCTGGAAGTGATAGTTTGCTCTCTCCTCATACCACAACTTTAATATTCTCTTTGTTTTCCCGATTCTGACCATTGCGGAGATGACGCTCTCTATGGCCGATTCCGAAAGCCGACATTGTCATTGAGCTTGGAGCAGAGGTTGATTTTTATCATCACTCCACTTCGGCCGTGATTGGACCTGGGCTCGAGCCCTGGGCTGGGCTGGGCGGCGGCGGGCTGGGTATGGCTGGCCGCGCAGAAGGGGGGAGCGTCTTGTCAGCTGGGTCATTGACTATGTGCTCGCCGAGCTCGCCCACGTCTCTGCTGCGCGAGGCCCGCTGGGTCTCTGCTGCGTTCGGAAATACATGCGATTGCAGTCACGCCCCCCACCCCCACCCCCTGTAAATCGCTGCAACTGCATCCGCTGCGGGACCAACGCACCCGGCTATAAGCTGCCGGCCGCCCTCCCCGCCCCCGCGCCCCGTCTAAAAACACATCTTATGGCGACGGGCTTCCTTTTCCGGCCAGCAGGACGGGGACCCCACGACCCCACAAGGGCCTGGACCGCCTCCTCGGCCTGCGTGGAACGCAAACCCAAGTGTGTGAATGTCGTGCACTTGTCAGGTGCGTGAATTTACACTCGCACCACTTTTCTGCTTGGGTATGCGAAACGATTCCGTAGATTTGCATGAAATTTCAATGGACATCTAGGCCTAGTTTGCGAATGGGTATTCCACAGTCCGCACAACCACCAGAAATGTTGCGGACTTTTGGGTGTCCTCTGTGAGGGATTTTCCCGCGACGCCCCCCTGCCGCTCCCGATTGCTTTATCTTCCGCGCGTTTCCTTTGGACCCTTTGGACCCGCGCTGCCACCGAGGAGACTCCGTGGTCCAGCCGCCGGCAGCTTGCCTGGCTTGTCGCCAATCAGCCAAGTCAGCCTCCTCGCGCCCCCCACCACCACCCTCCCCTCTCTTCCCGCCCCCGCAGGTGTTCGTCCTCCTGCAGCTAGTCACGACCCCGCGGCTGGCCTGGAGCCTGGCCCGCGCAAGGCGAGGCCAGGACGCCGGACGACGCCGCCCCGCCCCGCCCTG